AACTGTAAAAGGAAGTTTACTTCATAGAACAACGAAATACAGATTGGTAAATAAATGGATTGAAATCCACAACTAAATAAACTTAGTTATATGAACATTTAGAATCCCTAAAAAATTTCATTCTTGAAACCTAATTCTCATAGTTCATAGGTCATCATCAGAGAAAAATTCCTTCCAAGTTCTAAGTGCTTTCCCATGGCTACCAAAATTTATATCTCCTTACATTTTAAAAGTGCTTGTTGAAACAACAACAGTTCGTGACTAACTGATGTAGTTGTCATATACAATCTATTAATAAACCGCGAATTCTTTCAGTAAAATTCAAATTCTAAGTCAACTATGCATTTAAACCTAAATTAGGATGGGTCATTTATCCAAATGTTAAAAATGTGCACAACATATTTCTTACTTTTACTTTATTCTGGAATTATAAGTAACGTACTTTACCACATTCAGCATGATTGACACTTTCTGCATTAAAGATAGTCTGAAGCGTATCAACGAAGAATGTTATTCGACTATCATATGTTGCAGGTAATGCATCAACAAGCTCTTTATTCAGATCTCTATACATATTTTCAGCTTGCTGCAAATCTGCCAATGCTTTTACCACTCTTGGATCTTCATCACCCTAAAGATGCTAAACATTATATTTTTATTAAATAAAATATATGACACTAAATACGATCGAATATATAAGAATTTGTCGATGTAAAAGTCGATACCTTAGGCTACTTGGAAATCAGCTGAAAAAAGTAAATCACATCACATACCTTATTTAAAGTTTAGCTGACATTACTATGTGTATAGCACGATCATTAAATGCTTGAAAAGAAACATGATAAATTCGGCTGCACAGTTCGGTAGCAAAAAGCACACTGCTTAACATAACACATCAAAACAAACTGAATCTCTTAACCGAACTTTGAAAAAACCCGTCTAGTTCTTGGTTTTTTTTTTTTTACATGCTTTAATGTTTAGAGACCTCGTCAAGATTTTGTAATAAAAGTATTTTATTGATTGCAAATGACTGCTGCGACTAAAAAAAGCTGTAGTCCGCTATTTTAATTAGTTACTCTACTTTTTAGTGACAGTAATTAGAAAATTATTAACACTAGCATCCTACAGATAACTGCAATTATTAGACAAATCACTGCTATATATATTTAAATATATGCAATTCTTGCAAAACAACAAACACATACCTTTTTGGAACTAGCTCTCACAGTTGCATAATTATTTCGTGCACTATCAAAATCAACAAGTTTTCTTCCTCGCTTTGCAACCTTAGCTTTTAAATCGGAAAATTGTCCCATATATGCACTCACCGAACCCATCACTTGTTCATTGATAGTTTTTTCAAATTCCTCCCATTGTAAATCCAGTGACTGTAAGTGGGAAACATTGAGAATACCACAGATTCCCACAATATTTCAAAATATGAATGAGTAGACAATTGTTTCTAATTGAAATTCTTTCATTTTATTGAATCAGTAAATGCAAAAGACAAACTTAAAATTAAATAGAATTTATAATTAATTATTGCTATTTAGAGAGAATTTTCAATGTGCATGAATCTGAGAAAAATTCAGAACATATTAAATCATGATAACAAATTGTTCTACAACTTTTAAAATCAAGCGCACCAAACATTTTAAACAGTGAATTCACTAGTCCGCAACGAGGAATTAAATATTATCGCTCCAAAACAAAAGTGGAAAATTACATGGGTAATCGCATACAAATGTTCACGATCCGGCCAATCAGATTCATAAAGTTCCCGTATTGTTTCTCGAAATGCTTTTTGTGCTTGAACCATTGTTCGTAGTGCTGAACCATATGACTTCAAATCTCGATATAACCTATCACATGCCTTACTTTGTTTTCCCAAATTTGCGGCATGCTGATCAAATACATCATCTTGTGTTGCTTTGGCTTTTCCCAATCCTTCCAGCAGCTGATATATTTTGAACACGAATAAATCTTCTACCAAAAGCAAAATATACAAAAACAAATAAGTGAAAATCAAGCAAAATTTTCTAACTTTATTTCAGCAATGTTATTAAAGAAATATATTATTTTATGTTAAATAAATAGTTATCAATAAATAATACCTTCTAATAATTAGCCATAAAAAATTGGTTGATAAATTGCTTGCTTACTCATCTATTCATTTTGATTAGATAAAGGAATACAAAAAAATCGTGTTTCTGTGCAATAGAAAGAAACCTTCTCTTTTGCACGGGCAGTTTGTTTTCGAAGTTGCTTGCCGAACAAATCACTCATATCTTTCTACCTGTCGATAACATCCAAGCCATGTACTTGGTATATAATTGGAACTTAAATCTGAAAACTGCATTCACGACAAAAATATCCATCAAAGTACAACAATGAAAAAACGGTTCGTATGATTTTTCCACATATTTTCATTTTTCCGTAATTAAGCAAGCAAACATAAGATCAGAAGTATTAAACATGAAAAGACACATTACATTTAATAAATTGTTTATAATTAAAAAAACATTGCAAATATCTAAAAAACATGGCCGTTTAAAGTGAATCCTTATCAGGGAGTAATAAGATCGAATAAACATAAGGACTATCTTCTCACGCATTTTATCATTCATCGCCAACACAAACTCTGGCATGTGGCATACAAGTAAAACATATACATACAAACACATGCATGTACATTCATCCACACACATACATGAACATTTATACACGTAGACAAACGCATTACTCTCACGTACAGCCAACATTAATCGGATTCTTGCCTTGTCTCTCCACCTCATATCACAACTGTTTCTCATATTTCCTACGCGCTAAAAACCAGTCTTGTAAAACGCGAAACACTAACGACTAATCATAGCAATAAATATAATTAATACCTATGAAACTGTATAACGCAATAAAACAGAGAGCAATGACAACAAAAAGTTTTCACAAAACAATCACACACTACCTTTCATTAAAATTTCAGGAACATTCTACTTAGCAAGCATTTATTTGTTGCTCCAAACAAGTAACCAGTGAATCTTGCATCTTCCCTGCAATTTACCTTCTGATCTTTGCAGTCAACAGCATCACTTTTAAAATCCGAAACACTGCTCAAAGTAAATAAACATAATCTTATCTTAAATGCTGCATATTCCACATCAGGCATCAAGCTTTTCGTGGAATTTCTCATCCATACAATTACCATTAAAGCTACTCAAACTGATAGCACAAATTCAAAATAAAATATGCCATCAATAACCTGAATGCATACAAAACATGAGTGATATGAACCGTTCTAAAGTATTAAAGAAATTAAAATCTCACAACACTGAACAACTTATTACAAATCGCTAATTCTCAATATAATTCATCAATTACTGCTTAATTTCGCATTAAATTTAGTTCTTTCGATCACTTCCTCCCAATTACTTTGCAAAATTGTACGTAAGAACCAAAACATGCCTGGCTGTGAAAATAGCTCGTCCATGCAAATCAACTGCTATAAGCAACTTTCTATCCCTCACAAAACGAAAAGTGTGGAAGAAAGCAAACATATACTTTTGATAGCAAATGTTATGTGAGTTGATTGAAAGAAGAGATGCTATAATTAACAAAGATCTTCAAATGAACAGAGTTTCTGCACCACAATTCTCACTAAAATTTCACTTTTCGTCAACAAATCCTCAAATTAATTTAAAAATTGATATGCTAAGTTTATGGTGGTGTTATATTTTGTAAATGTTATGAAAACGACAAATTAAGTAAAAACTATTTCGCACCCGTAAACATATGTTTGATAATTTAAATGAAGTCCCATAAATGAAAACATCTCAAATTTAATCAAATAAATGCCAAGAAGCTGATAAATAAGTCTAACGCAGTCTGTAATCTCACTATGCACTAACTACCTTTGACACAGCTCAATCATAAGTTGTTTCTAGGTTTATCCTTATTCTCATTCCAAAATACTATCACAACTTCATCGAATCTCATTTGTCCTTGAAACACATCCAAATGAAAAATTATTTGATACTTACTAAGTTCTAGACAGCAAATTTTTCAACTGAGACCCCTGAAAGCAGAATCTACCACAAGAACCCCAAGAATTAAACGAAATGATCTCGTAAGCAAAGTATCATTGGGAACTCATTACAGACTACTTCATTTAAAGTAATTTTGATAATTGGCAATACTATTACTGAATACTACATTTAACTTTGCCAATGAATACAGAATTTTGAATGAAACTCTAGTCCTTCATGACTAAACTCTTTAAAGAAGCATCTATTTAAAACAAGCATTCAATGCACATCTGTACAAATCTAAAATGGCAACCACGAAAGAAAAAATCATTAACATTTTTTCTGCTCAAATTGACACATTCATCATGTAAAACCACCAGTAAAGACTTACAGCATTCATCAGAAGGTACTACGATTAAAGATCAGATGGATGAGAGTAAATAGTTTGCAAATTTCGTGTATACTTACCTATTTAATGAAAGTGGAAATATTTTTACTACACAAAAGAACTTCTGCAAACAAAATCTAAACCAGTCAACCAATCAATCAATAAATCATCAATAAATTTAATTACTATTTATTGTAATAGATTGTTCTGATATGTGAATTGTAATGCAATAAATGAGCTATATTGGTAGACAAAGTTTAAAAAATTATCAACGAATACTTAAGCAGTCAACTTATCAACCCAATATTGATCCGCGCTGGTCACCTAATTTCAACCAATGAATCTAGACTAACCACCTTATTATCCACAATTATGATTATAACAAGCATGAATAATTTTCATTAGCTGATATTTCAAGCTTAACGAAGGCACTGACCGATACAAGTAAATGCTACCACTAAAGTTTACATTTATACAAATGATAACAAAACTCCACACATTGAAATTCATATGCATAGCATGAATATCATGAATATATCCATATCTAAAATAACAAAGCCACTATATTCATAACAAATTACCCTAAAACATAAGTCAACAGGTTGAAATCACTTCAACACTTTACACAAACAATACAAGTAAAATGAAAAAGAAAGAAAAAAGCAGAGAGAACAGAATGCTGTGTCAAGGTCAACTAATCAGGGTCAACTAATGTATTGAAAGTAGTAATCCATGCAGTAATTTTTTTAATTAATAATTGCAGAAGATAAAAAATTTGCTACATAAAGAAATAAAACATACAGCAAGAAATGCTTTTTAAATTGAAGGCAAACATTTTGTGTATGTTTCGCCAACAGTTTATTCTTCCTCACTTTCTTCTTCTATTCCATACTACTTCTTTTGCTATACACTGCACATACACATACACATACATACTCACACCGAGGAATTCTACGAGTACTACACGTGATTGCAGCACAACTTCGAAACTTCCACACTGTGCCTTCCTTCAGATGCGTTCTTCTAACTCTACTCAACCAATCACTCTCTCATATCTTTCAATTAATTCAAACACACAAATCAAATAATCAACAAAAAATACACACACACTTCACACTTCTCATATTTGCAAGCTATTTCAATGAAAACTTACACAAGAAAATAATAGCATTGATGTAATAAACTCTAAGCTTTCTTCAGTTATCATCATACAGTACCAATTATCATTAATTACGTGAACGTGAACTGATCAATTCTCTCCTACACTGTATAATTCATGTCCCTCACACTAACTCTCATTACCATTTATTAATCAGTAGTCCAAAAGTTACATCAATTTCCACAGTAAACATTTTACTCAGCAAATTGCAAAATGAAACTTCAAAAATCTCCAACCACAAATAAAGAAGTGTAACTGAGAAATACGTAAAGTATTATAAAACATCACTACTGATTACTTACCATTTACCTCCATCATCAGTTATGACTACGAAATTTAACACAAAGTATTCGCCAGGTTTTTGATAAATTTATCCCAACCACCACACTACATACCTTAATCATCAAAGCTACTATCATTTATTATTGTCTTTCTCACCATCAATCATTGACAAATCAATAAATCACAAAATTATTGTAATCTTTTCTAAACTGATAATCGCTTTTACAAACGACATAAATGGATATATAGATAAAAACAAATATGATACGACTAATAGGAAATGCATATTACTTTATTTTTCTGCATGAGGTATAGAGTGCTTCAACAACATATTAAAATAAATAATTCATAAAATAAATCCATATAAATAATTAAAACGAATACCAAAATTCCTCGACTGGACATCTAAAATGGCATACAGTTTACAAACAATTATTGACCATTACTTCAAATATAGCATTAAAAAGTTGAGAATTCAGCAAAATCAATATTAAAAGAACACACTTCAACGTGAAACTCATCATTCACATCAATATTCAATTTGATTTATATACTTAGAGCACTAATAAAATATAACAAACAAATCTATCATAACAGTGACTTTAAATTTCATTGCCCCTGATTTTAAAACGAAAGTACAAAAAATGCTTTTTTTGACAAAAGGTAAAAAAAATCAACAATTTGACATGTAATACAATTTAAAACACTTAATATAATAAATTATAATTGATATGTCAAATGATACTGTAACAACACTAAAAAATAAATAAATAAATTAAATAAATAAATAGTGGCTGACTACAAACTGGCAGTGAATTCTGTCCTGAAGTCATCGTTTTCACAAATGCAAATATTAATTTTTTATTACTTCATGCAAATGAAAATGCAGATAAAACTTTCTTTGGGTATGGAATACTGATTAAATATCGATGTTCTAATGAATGAAGAACCATTTTTGTGGCAAATAAACTTTTGATTATTCTCCATACAAAAGATTTAAACAAAAAATGCAAACTGACCATTTACAATTGCTTGAAAGCGTTTATGAAACAATTTTTAGATAGAAAGAAAACTTTAAAAATTCATAAAACTTCTTGAACTAAAGACCATGATAGTAATTCTCTGTGGACTTATGTTCATCTGTTTCACAAGCATATAATCAATATTGCTCAGAAAACTTTACAATTAAACGTCGTGATTATGAATTTTATGGTACCATGATACCTGAAAGAACTTCATATTTTTCGATAAAACATTATTATGAAGAACAAGCAGACATAAAATAACCAATAAAATTGCTATTATACAAAAAATCTTATGAACTCCATACACGTCGCTGATATTCTGGCGGTGCAACTTCATAATCACTTTCAATATCAAAAAATTTATGACGGTTAGCTTCAAGAAATTTCAAGAAATTTTGCAACTGATTTACTATAGAATCGACTGCTCGGTCGCTCCAGTTTGTTAATCTGAAGCTTCAGAATGCAAATTTTATAAATTTGATGGCAAAATTTAATTTAATCACATTCACGAACAGATAAAAGATATAATTCTTCAACTACTGGATATCAAGTCTACAATAGTTTTGAAACATTTCCAGATTTTATTCAACGAAATCTGTTATATAATTTGAATGCAAAAAATTAGACATTATTCTCATAGAAAATGATGTAACTGCGATAACATACGCCAGCATATCTCCAAATCGAACAAATAGGCGAAGAAGATGAATAAAACCATAGAAATCAGAAGGCTTGAATTTCTCACTACCATTTGCTAATGAATCTGAAACTACTGATAATTTTTTTGGCAAACTCAGCTGATATAGAAAATATGTATTCATACAATTTAACATACCGCTATTTTTGTCTACATCACTAGTACGTTTCCTTTTCGTATCTTTTGTTTTCACCTAAAAGTTGATATAAAAATAACAAGTTAATCAGCCACTCATCAGCAGTCCCATTTTTTCGAAACATAGCTTTTGAATAGTTTCTCAAGTAATGTAAATAATTGCTCCGACTTTACAAATACTTCATGACACAGTTTCATTCTTACTGTCAAAAAAATTACTGATTTCGACAAGCAAGAAGTTTTTTGACGACGATCCTTCCAAACCTTAAGATGAAGACTTTCATAGCCGTTAAAGAATAGACTGCACCAGTACTTGGGAATATTTCGAAAATAAACATCATTTTTAGTACATAACATCACAAAGAGCTAAAAATTATATACATTTGACTTAAACAAAAACCAGAAATAAAGACTAAACCTGTTTGGTTTTATGCTGATTAAGAAGATCGGCATATTGTGGCCGTTCAAATTTATATAACAGCTGGGAGCCTAAAGAATTGTTGAAATAATCCTGAAATAAAAAACTGTGCCCATAAAATTATGGAACGCTGACGAAAGAGATTAGTCTATTTTAAGGCCAAAGGCTGCAAAAACAGTGAAACAGAAAGTCAAAAACAATGATGACTAAATACGCAAAATGTCAGATTTTAAAAACTTACCTGCACACCATAACTACTTTCAATCAAAGTAACCACTAAGGAATTTAACTGCGCATCATCGCTTCCAAATTCAAAAGTCAGAGTACGTTTTGCTTCAACAGATGTATCTATATAATCAGCATACTGAAATGAATGCATATAATTATGTAGTAAATATAGTTGATGAATATAAACGTGTGACTTATCAACAATCTAGCTACTTTTTTATCAACAATCTAATACTGTCAAACATGAATATATATTCCGATGAAAAAATTAAACGCAAATAAAAAAGTTTTGTTTGTAAACACAAAAGTTTGACAGTCGGACGCAAAGCTCAATACTTAATTAGTCAGATAAAACACGACCTGACGAATAATGCTAGATACTGTATGACGTGCTGGAAGCCGTGAAAGATACATCTGACGATTAATCATATCGTGATCATCAACAAGGATATCTTTTAATACTAATGGTATCTGCAAATCATAAGCTCTTAAAACGAAAATAAGTACAGCAATTGAAGCTTAAAGTAATTGACTTAATATAAGAAGTGATCTTGAAATGCCTGTAAGGAAACATTGATAATTTCGATTTTTTCCTAATCATATATTTACTCAATCTCTTGAAAATTTATGATTATTTGATAAGGTTTTAAATTTCAGAAAAATTTTTTCAACCCTATTTTATTTCCCATTAAACTAAATCAAATGGTTCTATGAGATATACTTACATCTATTCTGATTTCAATTTTCCTCACAAAATCTACTACAGGTTCACTTTCTAACTGTGCACCTGATTTACGTTTTCGAACAGCACCTAAAACATTAAACATGATACTGGCATATTTCTCTGAACACAATGAAAAAACAGTAATGCTTTTTCCTAGTCTTACCAAGTTCTGAAAAATATATAACTGTTTAAAATGGCACATAATTTTTGTGCTTTTAATATTTTTCATTTTGAACACACCGAATTGCAAGAATAACGACAAATCGATTGATAATGCATTGGTTGAAATGAATGCAAAAACATCTTTCATTTTCAATATGACTATGACTATTGCAAATCTGGAAACCACCAAGAACCCAGTAAATCAAAAAATTAAACTTTAACAATTCAAGACTGAACCTTTGTCTGATGTGATACTATCGGCCCGACTTGTTGATGCACCACGTTTATCTGATGGTGTGCTTCCTCGACTATCAGCACCACAACTTCGTTTTTCCTCCACAATATTTGATTTTCGATTACGCCGTTTGTTCTGTGCTAATCGAGCCTGGGCATCTTTCATTTCTGCCTAAATGTTTCCTACATCAAAATAAAAAAAATGCAAATTCTAACCCAATTTACATCTTTGGGATCTAGTAGTTTCACTCTGAGGCAAAACACTGCTTTTCTAATTTTTTTAACAGAGCCAGAAAAAAATTTCACACAACTCGTTGATAAACCAACAATAGTAGTAGTAGTCCATTTGTCACTTTGTTACTACATTCTTTACTTCATTCCAAATTAATTTTATTATGATCTAATATTTCCTCATTTCATTTCATCTAACCTTTTTTCTCATACTACTTTCACTTTTCAGTCGCTGAAAAGTTAGTGATACATACTTAAATAGATCTCAATGACCCTTATTTGTATAAACAGATATATTGTCATACAAAAATTAAAAATATATATTTCCGCCAAAAGGGTCATTTATTTCACAAAATTTCGTAACCCTTCACTTTTTGTCATACATTTAATATAAATAAATGGAATGATCTTCTAAAAAAAAATAAATACATGAAAAGTCATAGTGCTCCACAGCTGTTATTTTCTCGCTGCTTTTCATGTTAGCCTACTTCTATCTGATTTTTTATGTATTAGAAAATTTACATATGACCAAGAGAATAATTTGGAAATTCAAAAAAACTGCTTTCATTTGCTTTTTCAAGTACATAAAATGCAGTCTATCAAAATTTTTAAAAATATTGGTGTACTTTTCTAAATTCACTTTTCTTTCTAATTTAGCACAAAAGTAAAACATCACTGAACGCGAACTTCAAAGTTCACTTAAACATTTAGGATACAAGCTAAAATGGCGAGTTCATCACATACACAGTTTTTTCTAAAATAATTGAATATCCGAGAAGAGTTGAGTACTAAGTAGGAAAATTGAATAAATCATGAAAATCTCTAATTTCTTTTCAAGGTGCTCATTAATATTTGCTCTGTTAGACCCCTAGCAGATTTCCCTCAAAAATATAGTGTACATTTCTATACTTCTAATTTAATGTGCCTCTCAGCTGATTTTTGGTTACATGAATTCTGTTCTCGTTGTTCGAAATCAAAGAGATTATTCCAAGATAAGAGTATCCTATATTTTAAAGAAAAAAGTTTTGATCATGACAGTTTAAGCGACTGCTAATCCTACTGCATTCTAAAGAAATTTTTAAAAAACGATTATTTTTTGTACATAAGTTATGAGAAAAATTAGCCTACATCTGACAGATAGATTAAATAATTCGCTAAAAGAACAGCTGACTTCTTCCAAGGACGAACTGATTTACAGTTGAGTTTAAAAATGGAGAATTAGTTACATAAGGATATTTTATGATGGAATCAGTTTCTTAATTACAAATAATTAGATTGCTAGTGAAGAATTCATATGGTTTTACAGAGTTATTTTACGCTACTTTTTTTCGTTGTCGTCATTAAAACTTCTTTATATCAATAAAGTCAACTTTCATTCCAGCACTAGACTTAAACGGTACACCTATAAATTACTGTATAGCAGTACATAATGATATGCTTCTTGTACTATCGTGAAAAAAGAGATCTGCTCAGAAACTGGACCTAGAAACTTTCCATTGTATCATACAAATATGTGTTCTCTATCTAAGAGCTTTTACTTCTGAGGTATGTTTGCTTACATTAGAAGGATTTACAATATTCCAAGATAAGAGTATTATATATTTTACACATTGAAGCTAGAAGGATTTACAACTTCCCAAGAAAAGAAGAGTAGTATATATTTTATATATTGAAGCACATTATGCAGCTGAAAAATTTTAAAAAGTAAAGATATATTAACATTATCAAAATGTAAACAAAAATTTTTCTTGCTTTAGATAAGCACATTTATTGTTTCAATATATAATAAAAGTTGCGTAGGATATAACAAAGTTTTAACGAATATAAGTTTTATAAGAATGAAAAAAACCTTGGCTCGCTCGACGTTAGCTGGAGTATGTTCGAGGAAACGACTACGTGTGCTGCTATGTTTAATTTTTTCGTCATGTCGCTGATTCCAACCCTAAAAAACATTTAGTTTTGTACTGCATCAATTTTGCAGCCGTATTTAAACGGTGACTAAAGTGAATAAGCATAATCAAAGCGTTTATTAAAAATAACTATGAGATAAAAATAATAAACGAAGTTCCGTAGCATCAAAATAATTTGATAAAAGGAATTTTTTAGAATAATTGATGGGAAAATTGTACTTGGTAATGAACGGTGTAGACAGGTTCTCCATCAGCGCTATGCTCCACATTGATAATTTTAGCTTCATAATAAAGATTATCCAAATGTTGACAAAGTACTTTCGCATGTAATTCATAAGCGTTGGGGGTATTTTTTGCTGTTTCCTATTACAAAATCGATTTCAAATAATTCTCAACAAATACTGACATAAATTCGCAAAAATAATTGATTTAACCCCATCTGAGGAAAAAAATTAATGCTTTACCACTGCATTCATGACTTACATGAGAATAAGTTCCACAATTGAAAACTATGTAAATTAAATCTTTTCAATCATACTTTAAAAATCAAATAACGCCAAAAAATTTGACATATCTCTAGCCACACATATTCTATATCGAATTCATGGTTGTTTAGATTATATTTTAATATTAAAACATTTTTTGGGATAAAAAAAAGAAAGAAAAAAAGCATGGCATTAATGAACCATATAAATTTGATTACTTATATTCCATATTATCAAAAAATATTATATATATCAGAAATTAAACAACAATCAAACCTTGCTTGTATCTTTCGTTGCAGCACTTTCTTTTTTCGGAGGCATAATGGATGAAATAAGTGACCAAGAAATATAAAGAATGAAGAATAAGAAAACCTTATCAATTTCTGCAAAATATTGAGAATGCCAAAATATCAATTCTTAGGTAAGTTGTACCTCGTTCCTCAAATACTTATTAATGTAATAGTTCAAAAATCCCTAAAAATAGAATTAAATTACTCCTCTTATTTATTCAATTTTTGAATTTACACGCGAGTTGACGGAAAACAAAAATTTTTACTATGCAATATTGTTCCACGATGGCCCGTTCACAATTATATTGGACTAATTTAATCATAGTTTGAATATACTACACAAAAATTTTAAGATAGCTTTAGTTCAATCATTTTATTAATATTAATGATTATTAAAAGATGGACAATAGCTCGATCATAATCAAGTCAGAATCTGAATACTTTTAGATACATGGAACTTCACCTGCATGTCATCAGCAAAAAGGATCCTTAAATAACTCTCAATAAATTATTGCTGTCAATCAAATACAACATTCACTTATGGAAATAGCTAAAACTGCTGATAAACTTCACTCTTCCATTTGGAATAACGCAATTTATCGAAAACTAAGAAGTAAATCTAAAAATGAAACAGAACAAAAGAAATAATGAAAAAAATAACTGAAAATATAATACTTGTGCAAATTACAAAAATACAAAAATTACGCTAAATCAAACGAAAGAAAAAAAGAAAATTTTGCTTGCACTGCTAGTATTTGATTGAGACGTAACTAACAAGACAAATTAACTTTCAAAAACTGTTTGATATTAAATTTCTGAAGTTAATCCAAGTGCAATTTGAGTAATTAAATAAGCAAGGACAAAAAGGACAAACTGAAATGTTTTTCGTGAGAAACTAAGGAATTGCTCAAACACAAATTCAAGTTTATAACGAAACAATATTTAAAATATTTTACTTTAATTTTGTATAAATTAGAGGAAAACTGGTGTAAAAAAACATCGAGAATTTAAATAATATAATCATTAGAACACAGTACAACCGAACCATTAAGTCCTTAAATGATGAATATGGATTCAAATCGTCCCAACACATAATTTACGTTTCGTTATATCACTGAAATAAATATATATTAGACCAAAACCATATGAAATGATTTCATTTCAACCAACACAAATTACTAATTTTATCGTGCAAAAAGAATTACTCAATCTCATCTAATAAACTAGAGGTAATATTTATCAAATTTGCCCTCTAATAATTTTTAAAAAGGCTAAAATAATTAACAATCAGTGATTTTAAACAATACCTACGAAAAATCCTGCAAAATTTTTCAATTTTTAATATGATGCACAATGCTTGCTACATGATGAGAAGGTGAAAATAAAAACGGACAAACAAAATATACAAATTAATAGATTTACATCTATGGTCAGGTAGTCAGACCAAAATATTCACAAAACAAACCCCTCAAAGCAGTCGAAAATAAAATTTGCTTTTGTCAATTTTATTTAAACTGAAAAATATATATGCAGCAAAAATTTATGTTAGATAAATATTTATAAGCATAATGAAAGTTTTCAATAATTAGTATGAGAAGTATGCCAAATATAACGCGTAAAAGCATTAAATATAAAAGCTAAAGTTAAAATAGCCAATTTATGAATACATTAAAATAATCCTTAAGCATTTTTAAAGTAAACATTGAACAGAAGTATTAAAAATCAAAAATTTTCACATATTACGTACTTGAATCTTAATTTATACTGCAAGTTCATAAATAAACATACAAAATAAAAAGTTATATTTACCAAAAGATTGTTGCTTGCAGAATAATTCTCTTAACATGAGAGCCGAGGTGGTATTTTACGGCTTAAGAGAAGTGTACTGATGAGCATAATTTATTGGATATTCATTTTTAATTAAATAATATTTGAAAACCAATAATGAAAGGAGAGAACTAATCTCCATTCCATCACTCATTATCATTAATAATATTTATATTATTATTACTTAATTATTTGAATTGAATATTTTTGGTTTTTTCTTTATTTGAATAAAATTTTTTATTTAGTAGACATGCTTGTAGTAACTTTTTGCATATGATGAAAAATTTTACGTAAAGAATGTAATTGCAGAGTGAGAATGGTTCTTATTCTTAATTTGTCTGTCAAGCTTTTCTATGATTCTGTGAAATTACTCATCTGAGTACCAAATGTACGCTTGATTGATATTTGTATCTGTCAAGATTTTGATAATAAATATATAACGGTTCTTATATATTTTGGCTGTAATCTTAATTATGAATACGGCAAATAAAATTAAAATAAATTCAATATTCATATTTTACAAAAGTTTATTCATTTATAATTTGCTTTTCAAAGTTATAGATTGTTTTGTTCAACCGAAACCGTTATTTCATGCCTTACAAATTATTGCTGCTGCCGATGTTCATAGTTAGCTCTATTTTGTACCTAATTTCGATTATGTATTTTAAAGGCTTTTGAGAGGAGAAAGTAACGCAAACAAACCTTCAGTATATTGAGTAATTAATTATTACCAATCAGTATAAAACTGATTACAGCTTACACAATTAATCAAAGATTGATTTCTAGCTACATCTAAAATTTTGATTGAACAGTATTGACTGTTGCAAAAAGCAGAACAAATGCTTTGGTTCTTTCTTCATTTATGCAGTAAATTCTCAAGAATATTCAGAGCTCTGCAGTCATTTCACATTATTTCTTATCGATTGGATTGCAGCAGAAAAGATAGTTTTAGAGAGTAAGAAGAGAGCAAAGGTCAATCAGAAAGCCTTGAGGTCGAAAGACCTAAAGCATTTGTCTAATGAAAAAATGCGTTGTGTGAGAACAAACGAAACATTGTTTTTAACTTTCGTCAATTTATATATATATATATA